TGCTAACTCCGCACCTGTTTTTTTGCTTTCTCCAGGCTCGACAGCAGCAGCAGCAGCAGGGATCATCAAATCCTTTATTTCCACACCGCCCGTGTCGTAAAAACTCGTCTCCTTTGCCGGGGTAAAATCCTCCGTAGCAGGGCTATTGGATATCGATGAGGATGATGAAGAGTTACCGGAAGATGATATCGGAGAAATGGATTTCTTCTGCTTCTTGCTCTGTTGAGCCTTCTTCCTCATGTGGGTCCGCCAGTAGTTCTTGATCTCGTTATCGGTCCGACCAGGTAACTTTCTTGCAATTCTCGACCATCTATACATAAATTGCATGATCTATATATTTTAGTTATTTAGTAATATTAAATGGAGAATAATCGAAAGAGGGGTGAAAAGTGAAACCTGTTTCCCCATTTCGAGTGGAGTTCAAGAACGAGTCGTTCTTCATGAGAAGTCATCTTGACTTTTTTTAGGCCCGGGTGAAGGTAGTTAACCCAACGGAGCCTGCAACTTTTTCCTGTTCTTTTCAGACCTATTTACAAACAGAACAGAATTTAATTAAATTTATTTTATTATCGGCTCGTGCATGGTGGGTAGTACCATGCGCGTGGGCGTTGCACAAAAAAACAAGCATACCTATATAGTGTCTCCCGCCAAACCCTTCAAACCTGATACTTTTGCTATGAAATCCCATCGGCGATCGCCGAACAAGTTCACGTAAAGTACCAGCTGGGCATCTTCCTCTTCTGTCCATGGCCCTTTTCTTGCTTCTTCTTTATTCTCCATTTTTTACCTCTCTCTCTCTAGATCTTCTTTCTCTCTCTCTCTCTATATATACCTCTCTCTTTCTTGATTGACTCTAGTATACGGAGATTATGGAGCGTGTGCTACTCATATATATATAGTAATGATTTCTCGGCCAATACGGAAGGTTTACAGAATATACTGTTTCTTAATTTGCAAGAGACTAATTAATATATGAGAAAATTGGGTATGATAGATACGTGACCATGGATCCTCGCCGTACATTTTATCTGCGATTTGATTATTTGATGATTGATGATAGGACAATATGCCTATACAACATATGTGATGCAAAAGCCGCCCCACTACAAAGTAAGTGCTTTTTTTTCCCTTTCCTTCTTTTGGCTTTAGTTATTTGAATACTAGTGGATGATATGTTGATTTAACTTTCGCAACTTGCTATCCATTTTTTTTTCAGTTTTACCATTTACCATGCTTTTGTGGTGTTCCATTTTCTTCGATTAATCGGGGCTTCGCTTATCTAATTCATAATATATTCGCGCGCGTGTCTCTGTGTGATAGAAGATAATAAGGATGAGCATATTCCCCAGTCTCAACTTGGATTCGGTAGTTTCCATTTTTGGTTGTTTCAGCTAAACCTTTTACCGATTAACATATGGTACACTTAGTGGGAAAGTTTATAATTATAAATAGGGGTTAAGGTTAAAAATTAAATTAGTTTAATGAAAATTAATTGTAGTTAGCCATATAGTTATTATTAGTTGTAAAAAAGGATGAATGTTCATCTTTTCAAGAATCAATTAGTCTCTCTTTAGTTTTATCCAGTAGAATCTGCACTGTTGATATATATATTTACGTAATAACAACTATCTCCCTCAATTATGTATTGTCTCATCCTTACGGTGTCAAATTTACCTACTAAATGAAGGTTTTTTCGGCAAGAGAATACATAGTTGAGAGTACATAGTTGAGGTGTCGTTGTAGAATAAAGGTTTTTTCGTAATTTGACATTATCTCAAAGGTGGGTATACTTTGCCCCATATATCAATATCAAGGTTGTAAAAAGCGGTGATCGGGTTGGAGGCGATCAGGTGCTGACTCACGATTAATCGGTGCAGGGGTGATTAATCGGTGATAAATCATAAATAAATCGTTTTTAAAATTTAAGATAATATATTTCTAGATATTATTTATAAATACTCAAAACATATATAAATGATATTTAAACATAGTTATATCTCCATCATGTATATATCCTAATAACATAATAAAAGTCTAATAATAATAAGATCATATAATACATAAATCGATTTTTGACCGATTTTTGTCGATTTTTGCCATTGGGTTTGACCCGCCTTAAAGGTTTGATCGCCTCGGAGCGCCTCAGATCGCCTGAAATTACCTCACATGCAAAAAATCGATTTTTCTAACCTTTACACTAAAATCGTAAAGATTTGGGACGCCTCCGCCACGGGACCGATTTATCGGCCACCTCAACCGATTTTTAGAACACTCATCAATATGGACACCACTAAACACCAAAAAGCAGATAATTAATTGGCAGACACTGAAATATATAAATATAAATATATATTATCATTTGAAAATGATACCACTGTCTAAAAATCATTTTAAGAAAATAGTGGGATATTGCATCATTGTATTAGTTTCGCTATGACTTGGAAATATTCGGTCCTGGCACTTAAAATCAATAGAAATAATAAATTTCTAAAAAAAAAAAAAAGTACTATATAGACATGCATGATTTTTTATTTTTTTTTAAACTTTAATTCCCTAGTAGTAGTGTATATATAGTTTAATCATTCTAAATGTGTACTATTTAAAACGCACTCTTTAAGTTTTAAGATTGAACACAATGAAAAATCTTGTGTTCTACTTCTACTTAATTGTTTTTCTTTTAGATTTGTAGCTAGATTAAAATCCTATATTATAAATCACAAAATTAATTCCAAAATTTGTCTTCATCAAAGATTGATGAATAATGAATACCTTGTCGTGAAGAATATAAAACTTTATATGGGGAGTGGTGGCTCCTTACTTTACGGGGTGTGATGGTGCGATGGTGCAAGTGGGGTTTGATAGTGTCGCGAAAATAGTTTATACTATATGTTAAATCGAGTGAAATACACCTGATAGATTTATTATAAATAATTAGTACACAAAGACACACAAACACATTGATGTGTGTAGATCAACGATAAAAAATATCAGGTGTAATATTCACTGGGTATAGCATTAAGATAATTCGAAAAAAATAAAAAAAATGACGTGGAAGGCACCATTTTCTATGGCCACTACACTTCAAATTTGTTTCATTTTTATATGAAATATTAAATACAGGGTGGAGATAAGATAGAGACGTATGTGGGGCACATATGCATATTGTCTTCATTCCAAATGCTTCTTTGACAAAAATCTAGGTAGGAAGAAAGGCATTAACTAGATAAATTTACCACTTTGCCCCTTCAAATATCATTTTTTTCGGGCCAGAATTAACACATGAAGCCCATTTATTGGGCCTTACTTTATCTCGTTTACTCAAAATCCAATGTTTGTGGATCTTGAAATCTCGTGGGCTTTAATTTTGCACGTTGGTTCGTATTGAGCCTTTAGAATAATTCAGGTACATTTGTTGAATTAAGTTCTTTGGCCCATATCAAATACAAATAAATGAGTATTTTAATAAAGGGGGCAACTATTTTAAATCCCAACTTTTGCTTACTTGAATACTACCAAGTTTAAAACCAAAATTGAGTACATATTTATCAGTTTTTTCTTACTTTAATACCAAAATAAAAAGAAAAGTACAAAAACACCCTTTCATACAAAATATCAATTATATCAAATTTTTTTAGAAATTACCTATTCAAAAACCAAATAAAAAAAAAAAAGAAAAAAAACCCATTGTTGTAAAAAAAAAAAAAAACCTCCACCATTTCTTCTCCTCTCCAACCCTCACCGCCGCCGCCGCCGCCGCCGCCGAACGCCACCGTACGTGCTCGTAACTGCCGCGACAACCCAATTAAACCCTATCTTTTTCATCTTCTTAAATCCTCCAAAAATCTCCAAATTCAAAAAATCAAAACCTCACAAAACTTGTAAAATGGAGTTATAAGACAATAATATGGTAGTATATGTGGAAAGAGAAGCCATTAAGGTAAGTATCGATGTCTTTTTTGAGCTTCGAAGTCGATTTTGAAGTTTTTTTTTTTGAAACCCGCCGACAATTTTCGACACATACAGGTCGATTTTTTGGTCAATTTTCGACACCAACGTGTCGAAAAAAAAACAAAATTCGACACCTACCTGTCGAAAATTCTCCAAATTTCGACAGGTATGTGTCGAAAAACACTATTGGTAAAAAAAAAAAAAAAAAAAAAAAAATTCCGTTATGTCCCCCCACGTACGCACAGACGACCCTGACCTGCCGTCTGGGGAAAAAAACCCCCCC